CGTTCGATCGAAGTTTTTGTTTCCAATGCTAACAACGGAAGCATTGGGAACGAGGACGAGCACGACGGCGACCTCGACGAGGACGACGAAGCGACGACGACGACGAGGGCTTGGGCGCCCCTAGGCCCGGTGTCCCCCCCTCTGGGGGGGCGGCGGCTTGGCCGACTGGTACTTCGGGCTGGCGGGCCTCGCCAACGGCACCGAGCCCTCCCCGCAGCCCGAGGCGCTCGCGCCCTGCCCGCCGCCCCTCCGCCGCCCCCTCGTCGTCGTCGCCGCCAGGCCGCCGTTACCCCCCCCCCTCCTCTTCTCCTCCTCCTCCTCCTCCTCCTCCTCCTCCTCCTCCTCCTCCTCCTCCTCCTCCTCCTCCTCCTCCTCCCCCTCCTCCTCCTCCCCCTCCTCCTCCTTGGCGCCGTCGCAGGCGAGTGACAAGATCGCCGGCGAGCGAACGGGGGGGGAGGTGAGAAGGAGGAGGCCCTCTCGGAAGGTGGTGGGGCGTCTCAGAGGCGCTCCGGCCTCCGGGAGAGGTGTCTTCGGGGAAGGCTCAGAAAACATACAGTCAAAAACCCGAATAAGGACGCACGACTTTGCCCAGGGTACCCTTGCGTCCTTGCTCTTCCTTGCTCTTGCGTCCTTGAGGTTTCCGTCGTCCGCCGCCCCAGAAATCCCAACTTCGGCTTCCAAGGGTCTTGCGTCCTTTACCGCGCGTCCGAATTAGGGTTTTTGACTGCATCAGCAAGCCGTGGGACTTCCGAGCCCTCTGAGAAGGCCCGCCGCCTCTACCTGCCCCCCTGGACTGGCCGCCGACAAGAGCGTCCTGGAAGAGGCACAGCAGGTCAGTGCAGACTGGGGTCAGCCAGAGCGCTGGATCCTGCTGGACCCTGCAGGGCCAGGGCTGCACTGGCCTGGCTCAGCGCGCAGGGTCCTGCAGGATCCTGGAGGAGCCTGACGGAGCCTGCAAGGTCTGACTGACCCGGGTTTGTATCAGCCCAGGTCAGTAGGTTCCCCGAGGCTAATGACAAGGGCGTCGTTGAAGAGTCACGGCAGGTCGGCGACTTGGCCTATGTCGACCAGGCCCACATAGCGCCCGAAGGCGTAATATGGCATGCCTACATACATGCACAGGTTGTCGTTGCTGTCTCCGCGGGCTCGTGGCGATTCAAGCATCATCCTCCTCGTCATTCTCCCCCTCGCTCGTCTCACGCCGCTGCTGCTGACTCAGGTAACTCCGACCGAGGACAAGGAGAGAATATTGGCGCTCGATTCCAACGGCATCGAGTTCAAGCGCCACGAGGATGATGCCAGTAACAAGTGCTCATGCACAGTGATCGGCTGCTGCTCTGCTGTCCAGATATAGTGTGAGGGGCGAGGATGTACAAACATTATATTTCGCTGTTGTGTTGTCACCTGGTGCATGTGATTATTCGTCGCCAGCGTTCCTTCAGAGTACACCGAAGCGACCTCAAGGGGTTGAGATCTCAAGGATGATGCGCGGCCGTAGAGTTGCTCAGGCCTCTCTCTGTCTTGGTTTGGGCTTCCTGCGGCCCAACGAGGGCATACACCTCGCATCTGACCGCTATTCTCGGAAACTGGAACATACACATTACCAGTGGCGGGTTGTTTTCAATCCCAAGAATTTACAAGGGTCGGGGACAACGTCGGGGCGGTGTGGTGTATACTTTTTCCGCTTCTCGGGGAAACGACGGTACACCAGGATCCCATATACACCAGGATCCGTTTTCTTGTGCAAGTTTCGGTGCCGGGCTGGAAAAAGCGTCGGTGTACAGAGTTTGTTTCCTTCTATTCCTCCGCAGGACGCCCCATCCCAGCACCAAATCACATGTGCGAATGCAAAGGGCCTGGGGGGTGCGCCTCTGCACTGCGCGGGTGCCACGATCTCGGCGCGAAGGCGCAATTTCCCGCGAGGGCGCGGCGTCAGCCCGCGTCCTCCTTCCCCCCCCCCCCCCCAGACCCCCGACGTCATGATTCATCACGTCGACCTCCAGGATCTGGGCCTCCTAGACGTGGTCGGAGTAGACTGGGTTGGAGGGTCGCGCCGCATCGCCGATGCATCGGCGCTGCATCGGCGATGCGGCTCGATGCGGAACCCGATTTTCTCCACGCCGACGTCGTCGATGCATCAACAGAGTCGCTGGTGCATCGCCAATGCATCGCCGATGTGTCGCCGATGTGTCGGCGATGCGGCGAGATCCTTCGATCCCATCGACTCGGACCCCATCCTCCCCCGGGACCAGTCCTTCGTCCTGAGTTGTTTTTGACGGTTCTGGGGCCCGGCGAGGGCCCCCAGAGGCCGAGAATCGCGAAGGGCCTCCCGTCGCGACTGCTCTGCAGCGCGAGGGGCCCACGTCCTCCCCCGCTGCCGCCCACGCCTCGCTCGCTCCCCCCCCCCCCCTGCCCTGGCGCCCGCCCCTGCCCCGCCGCGAGAGACCAGGACGGGCTGGCCTCGCGGCTCCGCGGCGCCTTCCAGACCGTCACGCGCGAGGTCCGGCTGCCCAAGGTCCGGCCTGCCACGACCCCGCCATCGGCCCCACACTGGGAGCTGGGCTTCCCGAGCAGGTGGGGTCGGAGGATCGCGCCGCATCGTCGATGCATCGACGATGCGGCTCGATGTGGAGCCCGTGTTTCCGCACGCCGACGTCGCCGATGCATCGCCGACGTCGCCGATGCATCGCCGATGCATTGGCGATGCGGCGCGACCCGTCGACCCCATCTACTCGGACCCCATCTAGGAGGCCTTCCTAGCTTGGACGCCCGAGTTACCCGGGACAACTGCGGTCTGGGGTAGCTCCGGTTTGGGCCCCCGAGGCGCGAATTTGTAGTTGCACCAGCCCTGATGATTCGAGAGGGTTGGACGCCCGACTTATCCTGGATAACCGCGGTCTGGGGTACCTCTGGTTTGGGCCCCCGACGGAGCATCGTGAGAGCAAATCGGGCGACAAGTTGAAGACATCGCAACATCTGAAGGCGGTATATCACGCAATGCCTCATCAGATCGCCGTGGGGCCCTCTGGGTCGGCTGTTCGGGCCTTCTTGGACAGTCCTGTGGCCGCCTTGAGCCATGGTCGGCCGTCTTGGGCCATCTCTTGCCTCTTGGGCCCTCTTCGCCGCCAGGTAGCGTCCCTGCGCGTGGGAATCCCGAGGCAACGTCGAGCGGCCAGGGAGCTGAGGGGCAATCCCCCAGGGCGCAAGCCTCGGCGCCACGGACACCCCCAACCGACAACCTAAGCCAGACCTCCGACGTCGCGTTTTTGTTTGCCACGTGGACCCACCAGAATCTAAACCACTTCCCCAGGACTGGCGGTTCATCCTGAGTCGTTCTTGTTACGGTCTTGGTGCCCAGCAAGGGCCTTCAATAACAGAGTATGGCGAAAGTCCGTCGTGTTGTTTGTCACGGCGCGGGGACGTGAGGAAAAGGAGACAGAGATGAAGAGACAAGAGACAAGAAGCACGAGACGGGACGAGAGAGAGAGAGACGACAAGAAGCATTGGCACGACAGTTGTCCAATCAGGCAGCACCACAGCCTGGCGCTCCCAAGGGGAAGCAGTGAGTTGTACATATATATATAGATATATACACACACCAGCGTAGAAACGAAAAACATGTGTTTCTAGCAAGGTCTGGTGTGCAATCGATGTTGAGCAAACTCTGCTGTGTTAACATGTGTTTCTAGCAAGGTCTGCTGTGCAATCGATGTTGAGCAAACTCTGCTGCGTTATATATATATATATATAGATGTGTGTATCTGTTTACTGAAGAGCGCATCGAAACATCAGCGAGTGGCCGCATTCCGTATCCGTTTAAGCTCAAGGGCTTGTGCTATTGTGGCTACCCTTGGCAGTCTCCAGCCATGGATGTGTGCGGGGCTGGCGGACTTCCTCGCACGGGGGCGGTGCGCTGAGTGAGACTCGTCTCGCTCTTCTGGGCCAGCCGCTGTCCTGAGGTGCCGCAGTGCCCTGCCGTGCCCCATTGTCGCGAGTTCCCGAGATCCCCGCGTTGCTGGTCGGCCCAGGGGCTCCGCCTGTCCCCGCGTGGGGCTCGCTGGCTTTCGCTGACGGGGCGTGGGCTCGCTGGCTTTCGCTGACGGGGCGTGGGGCGCCGCCCTTGCGGGCTTCGTCGGGGGCGGCGGGCAGGCGCGATGTCTCTGTGGGGCCTGTGGCATTGCCGCCTCCGCCATGAGCCGTCCTGCGTTGCAGGGTCTGGGGATCCTCCTGATGTCGGCGACGGGTACGGTGATGGCGCTCCGGCCGCAGCAGGGCCAGGAGTGGACCTACGAACTGGGCGCAGTTGCGGGGCCCCCGGTGCATCACCAGCGCTGGGGGGTCGGGTGCCGACGCTCGGGGGGTTCGGCGAGTGATTTGGACGTTCTCCTGATCGGCGCGGCGGACCCCGACGTGTACGAGGAGGGCGTGTGGCCCAGCCCGCTGGGAGACACCATCGTCCGGGTGGTTTTCGGTGCTGCGCGCAGGCCGTCGCCGCCCAGCGCCCCGCAGGCCTCGGTCTACCCGCTGCCGCGACGACCTCGACGGGGTTCGAGGGGACGACCATGCTACCATGCTCGACGCGACCTGCGTGGAAACGGAGAGGCTCGGGACGTCGTCAGACATCACCGCTGTCGGGGCGAGGGCCCCAATGCCAGGCGACGTGTTCGACCCCTTCCTGGCGATGGCGGCCGTGATGGCGCACAGCCCAGACGCGCCCTGCCCCCCGTCCGTTGCGGGCCCCAGGCGTCGCGGGCGCGCCGCTGCCCATCGCGGCCGCGTCGGGTCCCCCAGCGGCGGCGGGGCATGCACCACCTGGCCCCGGGAGGGTTCCTCCGGCGGCGCCCGCCGCGCCGCCGCCCGCAGCCGCTGGGGCCGCCGCCGCTCCCGCGCAACCCGCCCGCTCCCCGGCGATCCCAGGCAAGCCCCCCGTGGGGGTACCCGCGCCTGGGGCCCCGCCGCCCGGGTGGAGCCGGAGGGCAGCCGAGGACCACCCCGGCCCGATGGCCAGCGACGGCGCCCTGGACGCCGTCGTCGCTGGAGCCCCCACCCTGGGTGGGAACTCGCGGCGGCGGCCTGTGGCGACGCTGGCGAGCGGCTACTCGGTCTTCGCGGCGCTCATGGCACACAGCGAGGTGTCGCAGAAGGAGTACCGCGGGAGCGACGCTCGCACCCTGGCGGTGGTCGACGTCGCTGCGGGGACAGGGCGTCCTCGGTCGTCGGCGAGCGTGGACTGCCAGGAAGAGGCGATCGCTGACATTGGTGCGAAGCCGTCCCGCTCGGACAAGTGGTGCGTGGCCTACCAGTTGAAGGACGCAGGCGTCGGCGCGCGGGAGCACGAGACGCAGGGCAAGATCGTCGAGACTCGGGGCTCGACAAGCCAGGTGGACACCGTCGTGGGCGATGAGATCGTCACAAATCGTCTATCGGAGGGCGCTGCCCATCGAGCACCACTGGGACAATCCCCGACACGAGCAGGGAGCAACAGCAGACCTGCGCCAAGTAGCCCTTGGATGAGGCACAGGCCCTCTTGGCAAGGGGGCCAGTCCCCAAGCAGCGCGCGCCCAGGGCTACTCGACTGCCTGACCACGAGGGTACGCCCGCGTGCGCGGGGAGTTGCAGGTCTTCTCGGCTTGCGGGGGCGGCGAGCCCCAGGCGCTGGCGCCTTTGAATTCCGACTTCGCCTCGCCCCCCTCGGCGGGCGCACAGCCGCGCCCTCTCGAGGAATTCCTCGGACGGACCGGCCGCTCTCTTTGCAGAGCTTTTCTAGACAGCGAGGTTTTGCCAAGTCGACTTGCTGCAGAGCGGAAGGTTAGCGCGAGTTCCTCCTTGCCCCATCTCGACCCCGCCGTTCGGCGGCCATCGCGTCGGGCGCAGCTTGTTCGTCGGATATTGGAAGCTGGGGTGCTCGATCTGGCCCCAGACACAGTCGCGGCGCGAGAAGAGGCGGGCATTTGCATTTTCACGGCGTGGGAAAATAATGGCAGGCAGAGACTCGCTGTTGACTGTAGATCTAGCAACTTTCATTCTGAGGGCCCCGAACACGTGGACCTCGCGTCGGGAGCCAGTCTAGCCTGCTTGGAGCTACCGGGGGGCGAGGACCTCTGGGTCTCAGACGTGGATATACGCGATGCATTTTACATGCTGGGCCCCCCCTGGACCTCTGCCCCTTTGTTTCGCCCCCGCGCGTCAGGGCTGGGTGCCTCGGAGTCTCTGAGCTCCGAGGACGGTCGACCGGGCCGCGCGAGCGGGTGAGACCGCGTTTTGCCGCGCTGTCCATGGGGCCTCACGCCCTGGTTTTCTGTCGGAGAGCGCGCGAACATAGGTTGGGAGAGCGCGCGGGGCCATGGGAAGAGGACCGTCTGGTCGACGGAGTACATCTCGAGTGCGTGGATAATGTGCTAGGCTTGGCCACCTCCGTCGAGCGGGCCAACGAGCTCCTCGCCCGGGCGACGGAGTCGCTTCCACAGGCTGCCCCGGGCCCCCCCCTCCACGTGCCCGATGAGGCCCCCAGGTCTCCTGCAAGCTTCGGTTGGGTCTTTGCAGGAGAGGGCGGGGTCGCGCGGCCCGAGTCTCGGAGGCTCTGGCGCTCGATGGTCGGCATCTCATGCTATGCTTGAAACGGGCGCGGCCGCCGGCACACAGGTAAGCAAGATCGTAGGTCGCGTCATTTTCGCGGGTCTGGCTCGTAGGCAGGCGTATCGCTTCGCACCTAAGTATCGCGATGTCGTTCGGCCTCTGACGGGCGGAGTTCGACGAGAGCTCCGATGGGCAGTCAGTCCACTGCCGGCCCGGCGGGCCGATCCCGGCCCGAGTGGGAGGCGCGGGCGCGCCACGGATGCGAGCGAACAGGGCCGGGGAGCGGTTCATCGCGAGGTGCCGATCGACCGGGTGCGAGAGTTGGGCCGGGAGAGCGACGGCCGGCGGTCCGCGGGGCTGCATGGCCAGGCGAGCTTGCTGCGCGGCCGCGCGGCTGCTTCGATTTGGACACGGAGCCCCATCCTTCCACCCCGTCGTCGGGCCCCAAGACGGCCTCGCCAGTCCAGGGCGCGCCCCGGGGGATGGCCGACGATGCTTGGCAAGTGGCGTCGAGCAGTGGATGGGGTCGAGCAAAGCACGTCGTGGTTCTCGAAGGTCGGGCTCTCGTTCGCAGCATTCGCCGCGCTCTCAGAGATTGCCGCACGCTCGGGCGTCTGAACGCAAGCGAACTTCAGTATGAGTGTCTAGACGTGGGTGAAGTCTGAACATAAAGAGGGCGCGTGTGAGTGAGCAAGTGCGGCTACGATTGATGTGGGCGTCAGCAGCTGAGTAGAAACGGGTCTGGGCGCGAGTGGATGCGTGGGCGTCAGAGTTCTTGCATGAGCCAGTCTGGATATGAGGGGCCGCGTATCCATGAGTCTGCGCGCGAGCAATCACGGATATGAGTGAATCTGACTATGCCGCTCAATAATGAGTGGATCTGCCCGCGAGAAGGTTTGGGTGCGTCGAAGTTCTCAAACGGGGTAGTCATGTTTTATTACAGCAGGTGTCAGCGCACGTTAAAAGAGCAAGAATGAAGCGAAGCCTTCGAGGTCTGTCGGCGAAGGTGCTACTCCACCCTCCCCTCCACAAGCTCCGCGCCGTCTCCTCCTCCTCCTCCTCCTCCTCCTCCTCCTCCTCCTCCTCCTCCTCCTCCTCCTCTTCGTCCTCCTCCTCCTCCTCGTCCTCATCCTCCTCGTTTTCCTCCTTTTCCTCTCACACATCCCCCCCCCAGACATCAGGCGGCTCGACGTGTTATGCATGGGCCCAAATGAACTATCGATCCGAGGCAGACTTTTCATCTGGAGTCGTGTTTGACGATCCCGGTGCTTTCCTTTTTTTCTGCTTGATGGCCATCGTCTTGCCAGCATCGTGGTATCATAATCGTAATAAGCATCAGCGGCATCATGATAATCAGCATCAGCATCATCATGTATCCTCCTCTGCATCCCCTCCCCCCTCCCCATCATGCCTCCCCTTTTTCTCCCCCCCGCACCAATTCCGATCCGATTCGGTATCGGTTGTTGTCGGCCCGATCCGATTCGATATGCGAAGGGCGCTGTCGTGCATCTTGGCACCGCCGACCCGATCCGATTCCGACCCCGAGCCGATGCAGCTCGATCCAGCGCGCGCTCCTTTCCGGCTCGATGTTCCGATTCGATTCTGATTGATCCCTCCCACCCCTCCTTCGGGGGCAGAAAAGAGGGGTGATGACTAGGGGGGGGGGATATCATGGCGGGGGCCATGATATTTCCCCAGATTTTATGGCGCCTCTTCTTATTTCATTACATCCCTGGCCCCCCCGCTGGGCCGCGCACATGCCGCTGGTCATGATTTGCACCCCCCCTCTTGGACACCCCCTTTTGGCCGCTCCCAACTCCTCCCCACTTCCCTGCCCAGTGCCGTCCTTGCCCGAGCGCGCCCCCGGGGTGCGGGCACCCAGCTTTGGCCAGGCAGCGCGCGATGCTGGGCGCCGCCGCGCCAGGGCAGCCCCCTGCGCCGAAAGGGTCTGGGTCGTAGAAGAAGCCCCGGGGCCGGCACCTCCCGCCTCGTGGCTTGTGTCCACCCGTTGGAGGAGGGCCAGTGGGATCTGGGCCTCCAAGACGGGGTCGGAGTGGATTAGGTCGGAGGATCGCGCCGCATCGCCGATGTCGCCGATGCATTGGCGATGCAGCCCGATGTGGAGCCCGTGTTTCCCTACGCCGTCGTCGCCGATGCATCGCCGACGTCGCCAAGACATCGCCGACACATCGGCGATGCATCGGCGATGCGGCGCGATCTTTCGACCCCATCTAGTCGGATCCCATCCAGGAGGCCTCTAGTGGAGGCTACGGCAGCCCTTCCTGGCGTTGTTCGTCTCTTCTGGGCATAAAGGACACAGTCGGACCGAGGCATGTGATCGAGGTCGGCTCGGCGAGGGTACCCTCATATTCTTCGTGTTTGTGGGGTGTTCTTGTGCACCCTGGGGGGAAGTACCTTGGATGCTCTTCGTTTTGGCCGGCGGAGGGCCTCGTTAGTTCCAACTGTAGGGGAACGAACATCGACATAAATAAAGTTCTTAGCCGTGTAGCGCACGGCGGGACGCCAAGCTTCCAAAGAACAAGCTGGTCGGAGTTGTATCTGGTCGGAGTTGTCGGGCTGGTCTGGTTTGAGCCTGGTGCTGAAGCTTTAGCTAAAGCTTTAGCTTAGGATTCAAGCGAGAGTGGTTTAGGGGAGGTCCCGGAATGCATTTTCAACGACGACGACCGAATTGCAGTTTTTTTTGCATTGCAGTTTTTTTTGCATCTGGTCTGGCTGGTCTGGTTGGAGCCTTGTGCTGAAGCTTTAGCTTAGGATTCGGGCGAGAGTGGTTTAGGGGAGGTCCAGGGATGCATCTTCAACGACGACGACCGAAAAGCAGTTTTTTTTGCATTGCAGTTTTTTTTGCATTGCAGTTTTTTTTGCATCTGGTCTGGCTGGTCTGGTTGGAGCCTTGTGCTGAAGCTTTAGCTTAGGATTCGGGCGAGAGTGGTTTAGGGGAGGTCCAGGGATGCATCTTCAACGACGACGACCGAAAAGCAGTTTTTTTTGCATTGCAGTTTTTTTTGCATTGCAGTTTTTTTTGCATCTGGTCTGGCTGGTCTGGTTGGTCTGGTCTGAGCCTGGTGCTGAGGCTTTAGCTTAGGATTCAGGCGAGAGTGGTTTAGGGGAGGTCCAGGGAGGCAGCGCCAACGACTCCGACCGAAAAGCAGTTTTTTTTGCATTGCAGTTTTTTTTGCATTGCAGTTTTTTTTGCATCTGGTCTGGCTGGTCTGGTTGGTCTGCTCTGAGCCTGGTGCTGAGGCTTTAGCTGGCGTTGGCATGGCGTTGGGTAGAAGGAGGGGGAGGAGGAAGAGCATCACCATCTCTGACGATTCCAGACTGGCGCCGTCTGGGGGGGTACGTGGTCACGCATGGACCCCCAGCGCGGCGCTGCTCGGCGATGGAGCTTACTTAGCTGTACTCCACAACGGCCCAGGTCGAGAAAAAACGCGGCCGCTCCTCGATCCTGGTCTTGTTACTCTGGTCGTGTTAGTCTGGTCTGGTCTGGCTGGTCTCGCGTCGACTGGTTGGTCGAGTAGTTCACCTCGTTGGTCTGGTTCGTCTGGTGTGGTACGTCCGATTGGTTCGGTTTGTCTGGTTCGGGTTGCTTTATCGGTCTGGTTCGCCAGGCTGGTCTAATTGGTCTGGCTGGTCTGGTCGGTCTGGTTGGTCTAGCTGGTCTGCTTGGTCTGGCTGTTTTTTTGCTCGTTGGTCTCGTTGGTCTAGCTGGTTTCGTCTGGTTGGTCTCATTGATTGGTCTGGCTGGTTGATTGGTCTGGCTGGTCTGGCTGGTCTGGTATGCTCTGGATGGACTGGTTGGTCTGGCTGGTCTGGTCTGGTTTGGTCTGCCTGACCGGATCGACTGGTCAAGCTGGTCTGCTTGGTCTGGCTGGTATGTTTTTTCTCGTTGGTCTCGTTGGTCTGGTTGGTCTTGTCTGGTCTCTGGCTGGTCTCGTTGGTCTGGTTGGTCTGTCGCGTTGGTCTGGCTGGTCGGGTTCGTCTGGGTGGTCTGGTCTGGTTGATTGGTCTGGCTGGTCTGGCTGGTCTGGTCTGCTCTGGATGGACTGGTTGGTCTGGCTGGTCTGGTCTGGTTTGGTCTGCCTGACCGGATCGACTGGCCAAGCTGGTCTGGTTGCTTGGTCTACTTGTTCTGCTGTCTGCTTAGTCTAGCTGGTGTGGTTGGTCTGGTTGGTCTGGCTGGTCTGCTTCGTTTGGTTGGTCTGGTTAGTCTGGCTGGTCTGGTCTTGTTGGTCTGGTTGGTTGGTCTGGCTGGTCCGGCCCGTCAAGCTGGTCTGGTTGGGGTTGGTCTGGCTGGTGTAGCTGGTCTAGCTGGTCTTGTCTGGCTGGTCTGTTTGGTCTGGCTGGTCTGGTCTGGTCTGTCTGGCCTGATCGGTTGGTCTACAGGTCTGGTCTCATTGATTGGTCTGCCTGGTCTGCTTGGTCTGGCTGGTCTGCTTCGTCTACTTCCTTTAATTGGTTTGGTTGGTTGGCCCGGTTAGTCTGGCGCGTTCGGTTCTGGCTGGTATGCTTGGTCTGGCTGGTCTGATTGGTCTGGTTGGTCTGGCTGGTCTGGTTCGTCTGGTTCGTCTGGTTCGTCAGGTTGGTTGGCCGGGTCGCGTCGCGCCGTCGTCCTCGTCCCCACCCTCGATTTTCTCGTCGTCGTCGTCGTGGTCAGCGTCGTCGTCGTCGTCGTCGACGTCGTCGTCGTCCTGCCATTTGCGTCGCCGCAACCGGGCGCGGGACCGAAAGCGCTGAAACGTCGAGCCCCACTGCGGCGGAATTGAGGTGGCGGAGAGGAACATCAGCAGCCATATCAGTTCTTATGCCCCAAAGCAAGGTAAGGCGCTGGGGCATAAGAACTTTGCGCCTCGAGCGGCTTAGAACATAAAGTTCTTAGCCGTGTAGCGCACGGCGGGACGCCAAGCTTCCAAAGAACAAGCTGGTCGGAGTTGTATCTGGTCGGAGTTGTCGGGCTGGTCTGGTTTGAGCCTGGTGCTGAAGCTTTAGCTAAAGCTTTAGCTTAGGATTCAAGCGAGAGTGGTTTAGGGGAGGTCCCGGAATGCATTTTCAACGACGACGACCGAATTGCAGTTTTTTTTGCATTGCAGTTTTTTTTGCATCTGGTCTGGCTGGTCTGGTTGGAGCCTTGTGCTGAAGCTTTAGCTTAGGATTCGGGCGAGAGTGGTTTAGGGGAGGTCCAGGGATGCATCTTCAACGACGACGACCGAAAAGCAGTTTTTTTTGCATTGCAGTTTTTTTTGCATTGCAGTTTTTTTTGCATCTGGTCTGGCTGGTCTGGTTGGAGCCTTGTGCTGAAGCTTTAGCTTAGGATTCGGGCGAGAGTGGTTTAGGGGAGGTCCAGGGATGCATCTTCAACGACGACGACCGAAAAGCAGTTTTTTTGCATTGCAGTTTTTTTTGCATTGCAGTTTTTTTTGCATCTGGTCTGGCTGGTCTGGTTGGTCTGGTCTGAGCCTGGTGCTGAGGCTTTAGCTTAGGATTCAGGCGAGAGTGGTTTAGGGGAGGTCCAGGGAGGCAGCGCCAACGACTCCGACCGAAAAACAGTTTTTTTTGCATTGCAGTTTTTTTGCATTGCAGTTTTTTTTGCATCTGGTCTGGCTGGTCTGGTTGGTCTGCTCTGAGCCTGGTGCTGAGGCTTTAGCTGGCGTTGGCATGGCGTTGGGTAGAAGGAGGGGGAGGAGGAAGAGCATCACCATCTCTGACGATTCCAGACTGGCGCCGTCTGGGGGGGTACGTGGTCACGCATGGACCCCCAGCGCGGCGCTGCTCGGCGATGGAGCTTACTTAGCTGTACTCCACAACGGCCCAGGTCGAGAAAAAACGCGGCCGCTCCTCGATCCTGGTCTTGTTACTCTGGTCGTGTTAGTCTGGTCTGGTCTGGCTGGTCTCGCGTCGACTGGTTGGTCGAGTAGTTCACCTCGTTGGTCTGGTTCGTCTGGTGTGGTACGTCCGATTGGTTCGGTTTGTCTGGTTCGGGTTGCTTTATCGGTCTGGTTCGCCAGGCTGGTCTAATTGGTCTGGCTGGTCTGGTCGGTCTGGTTGGTCTAGCTGGTCTGCTTGGTCTGGCTGTTTTTTTGCTCGTTGGTCTCGTTGGTCTAGCTGGTTTCGTCTGGTTGGTCTCATTGATTGGTCTGGCTGGTTGATTGGTCTGGCTGGTCTGGCTGGTCTGGTCTGCTCTGGATGGACTGGTTGGTCTGGCTGGTCTGGTCTGGTTTGGTCTGCCTGACCGGATCGACTGGTCAAGCTGGTCTGCTTGGTCTGGCTGGTATGTTTTTTCTCGTTGGTCTCGTTGGTCTGGTTGGTCTTGTCTGGTCTGCTCTGGCTGGTCTCGTTGGTCTGGTTGGTCTGTCGCGTTGGTCTGGCTGGTCGGGTTCGTCTGGGTGGTCTGGTCTGGTTGATTGGTCTGGCTGGTCT